CCGATTTAAAATGCTGCAAATTACTTCCCTATATAATTCATATTTCAATGACCTCAGAATTCAAAGGACAGTGATATTCAATTAAAACCTTTTATTTTATATCGAAATTGCAATTTGAAAGAGAGCAATTTTCTAACAGCAAGAGTTTTTTTAATCACAGAACACAGAATTTTTATCACAGAACACATTATCAACAGTGTTGTCTTAAGTGTTAAATGGGAAAACGAACTCTAATAACCCAGAGGTTGTGAACTGCCTGTAGATGAGTTAGTCCAATCAGAAGCAACAAAACACTCATGTTCTTTAAATGTGACATCACAACCATCACAACTAACTGGTAGACTGATGCTCTCCATACGCAAGATCCATGCCAGATAAGTGAATATTCTGGGCTTGGCCCAAAAAATAGGCCTTGAAATTAATTTATAGAAAATAATTGCAAAATTGGTCAGAAAAATTGTAATTAGATATTTTTTTTAAATTGTTCAGCCATATATTCAGGGGTAAAATGTACAGTCAAGCTTTGAAACCCATTGGTTAATCAGAGCTGCAGAAACAGAGGTGAGTCCTGTCATTCATTTTTTACTACAGACAAAAACAGCTTAGACTCGTACACTAATGGCAAACTACAAGATGACGACATGTCCTTAAAGGTCTGTGTGTAATCTAAATGCTCTCTACTCCACCCGTTCATTACAAAAGCCAACGTGAGCTATTCAGCTGCACAGCCTCTGTTTCTAAAGCAGTCGACACCCGCTTCTTAAAGCTTGAAGCAGCAGGCTGAGAATGGCTCATTGTAGCTTCCATCAAACAGAGTGGATCATCCATTCTCACATGGAAATGGGGCTGGAGATCCTACTGTTTGTTGACACTGGTGATTTACACCTCCCTCTTCTCTCTATCTCTCTCTCTGACTCACTCACACACAGTCATATATTTGTCTTTTTTTTGTTTACGTCCTGGAGAGGTGAGCTTCTCCAGGCTTCTGTAGAGAAGAAAGCCAGACGGAACATCTGAGGATTTGGGTAAAGATCTGGCATCTGGAATCAAAGCAGATGTAATAAAGAGAAAAAAACTGAATCTTCCTTGTATTGTAAGCTGGATGTAGGTGTGTCTGCTAAATGATGAAACTAACATTTAGCAGTTAAAGAGGATACAAATCATTCTCAGCACTGCAGTAACACTAATGTGGTGGTAGTGTGTTAGTGTGTGTTGCGCTGATCTGAGTGGATCAGACACAGCAGTGATGCTGGAGTTCTTAAACACCTCAGTGTCACTGCTGGACTGAGAATAGTCCACCAACCAAAAATATCCAGCCAACAGCGTCCTGTGGGCAGCCTCCTGTGGGCAGCCTCCTGTGGGCAGCCTCCTGTGGGCAGCCTCCTGTGGGCACTGATGAAGGACTAGAGGATGACCAACACAAACTGTGCAGCAGCAGATGAGCTATTGTCTCTGACTCTACATCTACAAGGTGGACTGACAAGTTAGGAATGTCTAATAGAGTGGACAGTGAGTGGACACAGTGTTTAAAAACTCCAGCAGCACTGCTGTGTCTGATCCACTCAGACCAGCACAACACACACTAACACACCACCACGTCACTGTTACTGCAGTGCTGAGAATGATCCACCACCCAAATAGTACCTGCTCTGTGAGGGTCATGGGGGTCCTGACCACCGAAGAACAGGGTAAAAGGGGGCTAACAAAGTATGCAGAGAAACAGATGGACTACAGTCTGTAATTGCAGAACTACAGAGTGAACCTATACAGTATGTAGAGCTGATAAAATGGACAATGAGCGTAGAAACAAGGAGGTGGTCATAATGTTATGCCTGATCGGTGTGTATATATATATATATATATATATATATATATATATATATATATATATATATATATATATATATATATATATATGTGTGTGTGTGTGTGTGTATAAAATCTCTCTTCTGATTGTCTGCCCTGTATTGTGCTTCATTCAAACAGAGGTCCGACCAGAAACACTCCATATAATTTGGTCGGAGCTAGACTATCAGCTTAGTTTCCATATAAACACTGTGCAGACTGAGGAGGAAAAGATATGTTTAGAAACTATCTGCAATGTTATTATCAACAATAATATTAATATTATTAACACATAACATATTTAGACACAGCTGTTCATATGCATTCATATAACTTCATTATAGATTTTTTTAGAACTTGGCGCACTTCTACCTTGACGAAGCTTTACACACTCTTTACATTCTCTCAAACAGCTTCATGAGGAGCCACCTTAGATGCTTCTCCAAGAGGACTGAGGTCTTGTTGCTGAAACCATTTGTTGTTGTTCTTAATTATTTTTTTTTTCTTAAAATAATTTCATACATAGACATAAACTTCACTATTTGTACACGTCTTGATTTAATTTAAGAAGGGATGTACTGATATGGGAATTGTGTGTGCCAATGCCAATGTCTGATATTTTTCAGGTACGTAGCTGCCAGTATAGATAATGATACATAAGCATTTAATAAATGTAGAAATTGGGACTATGTCTACACAGATTAGCAATATGGAGAAATGTAGTTGAAAATGCAGTAAAAAGAAAAATCCAGATACTGTATGACAGTAGCACAATATACACATCAAATATCGACTTGAGATATCTGTCAAATCTAAAGATTTGTCCGATGCTCATTTTTGTGCACATATTTTAAAGTTGGAATGTTTTATAATCATCCATCTCTATGTTTAAGCTGAAGCCTTTAGATCCAAACTTCTAACTATCTAACTATATCTTTTTTTTCTTCTTTAATAAAGCACTCTGGAATCTTTCAATGGCTAGACATGGCTTGTCATTGCCCATTTAAGTATACTATTGTTTAGCCTTTTCTCTGATTACTTGCTTAATTAACTCAATATAATTAACAATCACAGCCTTAGGTATTAAATGAACGCCTTTACCGCAGCACTAACACTGGGCTGCAAATTGTAGCAACTTCTGACTTCTGAGAGACACATGTTTCAAAACATCAGTGATGCAGTGGAAGGAGAAGAGGCTGATAAAACAAAACAAAACAAATAAACAGCCATTTAAGCTCCAAAATCAATACAAACAGCATGAAAGCAACTGTCGAGTGACACATAAAAGTGGCTGGTCAGCGTGGGTTACCACAAACAGGAAAAGAGCAGGTCATAATACTAAGCTTTAAGAATGTTCTACCAAGTCTTAACTGCTGGAGGGAAAGCTCAAAGCCTGAGCACATGACCCCATTCCAGTCTCTCTCTCTCTCACTCTCTTTCACATACATAATGGTTGGACTTGCTGAATGAGCTATTGTGGCTTGGCTGACCCCTGATACGACCCAAACTTCAAACTCAGAACTGCAGCAAGAGGCGAGTGGAGTTACATAAAGGGATTTCAGTCTGAGTTAACTCCACACTGGGTGAGTTGTGAAAACAATGAAACCTGCACAAACACTCCTTCACCATGTGCACACACACATTTTCATAGTGTTAGGACATGGAGTCATACATAAATCCCACCCAAAATCCAATTTTATGCATTGAATAGATGTGAGTACAAAAGATATTATTAATAATAAAAATAATAATGTGCATTAATAATAACACATAATAATAATAATAATAATAATAATCATTATAATAATTATACACCCCACATTTATTATATTATAAACACTTTGTAGTAATACTCTGATTTCTCTGTTAAATTTAGGTTGGAAATGAGTTAAATTTTTGAAACGCCCTACGGAAAATTGCACAATCAGGATTTTTCCTCCATGGTATCTGTTTAGATACAGTCAAGCAAGTTCTCTCTTTGGTTAGGACTTCAGGAGCTGAACTGAAATCATAACTTTAACCTCAGTAACCAAAAGACATGGTTTTGCTCTTTGTGTTAAAAAAAATAAACATATAGTTACTTTACAAAGCCAGTATCATTTTGTTTCTCTTGAGTTTCACTACAAAACTTTTCTCCTGAACATGTACACACACACCTCCCTGCTCTCTCAGTTTCATAGTCAGAACAACAGAAGCCTAACAGACAACAAAATTGGTGGCTGGAGCATTCCTTCTCCAGTCTGTATTCTCTGGCCAAAAGCAGTGAAGACATTCTTCTTGGAGGAGTTTCCAAAGCAGACAGCGCAGAGATACAGAAAACAACTCAGCAATACAAACCTATTTGGGGGAAATACAGTGATCCTGCTCGCCAAAAGACTCTGTGCACAGCCACATTAATACCCCCTGCACCAAACAGAGCCTCACTCAGTATCATAATGTTGACCAGAGAAATTTACAGAAAACTTACTACTTATTTAGTTGGTTACAAATGTGCAGCAAATAACATACATGGCATGTCCAAAAGTATCCAGACAACCATTCTAATGAGCAAAATCAGCTACTTTAAGGTGAACCCATTAGTGACACAGGTGTTAAATTGCGCATACACAGCTTGAATAAGCTCCATAGAAAAGCATTAAACAATAGAATGAGATGCTCCGGAGCAGCTGCACAAGAGTCTAAGGTTACCATGCCCAATACCAAGTGTTTGCCAGAGACGTTTAAGGCCCTTCAGCATTGGGATGTGTAGCAGTGGAACTGTGTTCTCTGGAGTGATGGAGCTTCATCCAGTACTTTTGGGATGAGCCGGAATGATCCAGAACTACTCATCTAACATCAGTACCTGACCACACTAATATTCTAACATCTAGTGTAAAGCCTTCCCAGAAGAGCAGAGGCTGATAATACAGCAAAGAGGGATAAACTCCCTATTAATACCCTTGATTTCAGAAGAGGAGCAGGTGTCTACAAACCTTTTGGCATACAGTGTACAATGCAGTAACTATGTTTCTATCTATCAATAACAATAAAACTAAAATTTAATACCACTGTGTGGTACTAATATTAGTTTGTATTGCACAGCACCAGCTCATCTTGTCTTGCTTTAACCAAGATCAGTACGCAATGTTTGAACAGAACAATAAAGCAGCACTCACCTGTAAGTATCCCTGAGAAACATCCCCGACCACGTCGCCCTCCGCCGATCCACATCTGGCCGGACAGTACTTCCTGCAGCAGGAGACAACAATGGAGCAGCCACTTACACTTCTGCTAATTATAGATCAGCCGGCAGTGTGACAAAGAGCTTCAACAAGATCTGAGTCCAAGCAACTGCTCAAAGGGCTTGTGAAAATAAAGAGAGTCTAAAAGCAAAAGTGACACGGACCATCTGTTGCGTTTATCTGTCTATAGTAATTAAATTTCATTAGTTTTTATTTTCTGCATTTTAACACAATTCAAACCACATACAAAGAGCAGTTATGGTTCACTTATTATGTTTGTGTGGTTTTATGTACCAGTCCTATTTCATTCTTACGGGAGCATTTTCCATTTACCATGTAACAATAACTATTTTTGTACATTTTTCCTTTTAAATAACCCAGATCCTAAATTTTTCTTGACTTTTATTTATTTATTTTTACAGAGGTGGACTTTTGTGTATGTGCTATAAATGAATATTATAGCACATACATAACAATTGTATTGTGCCTCATTTGAAAAGCAGTCTGGGCTGCAACTTCAGTGTGAATGGGCAAAGCTAAACTGCTGTAGGCTGAAAAGGTGGACTGGGGAGTGAATGGTACATTTTGAAACTTTCCCAATGACATATTACCTCAAAATCGTATACACAAAAGAGAGAAAATTTAGCTTTCCTATAATATGAGCCCTTTAAGCAGTCAAAAAGGTAGAAATGAAAGATATAATAGCTTCTGCATCAGTATAACAGAGCCAAATCTTTGACATTATCCATGGAATGTGTTTCTATAACCACAAACAGACCACAAACACAAGCATGTGCAAAAACAGTTACCTGTATTTTGAAAGGGAGGCATAGCCTTTGTCAGAGCATGTGAGCAGTTCTGAGGAGGAAAGCAGAGGAGGGGACACAATGAGTGACAAAAAAAAAAGAAAAGGAGCAGTTTAAGAAGTGTCTCCTCAGCGGAAACCAGGCCTAACTCAACAAACAGCAGGTGGCACAACAGGACATACACATACACCACAACAGGATGAACAGCCTGCTTCCTTTAACATATCTGTAATGGAAACACACACATACAAACAATAGTCCCCAGTATAAGAGTGGATATGTCAGGGCATGACTATCAGGCTAGGAGTAAGAGCACTGTGTAGATGTGCTGTGTTGAGACATGCTGGGTGAGGAGACATTTCCACAGGCCCTGAGCAATGAAGGTAAGAGGCTTAGGCCACCAAGGAGAGAGTAACGTGCTCCACTGAGCAGTGAGGAGACAAAAGGGGTCAACCAGAACACAAACCAATGGAGAGTGCTAGGGATTCACTCTACACCCAGGTCCTGAAGAGATTTCAAGTTTTCCTCTTCCCTCAAACACATTAAATTCATGTTAGAAAGACTTTTGCAAAAAGCCGATCAAGTGAATAAGGTGTGCTAGACAAGACAAAGTGCTAAATCCCTGCTTTGAATATATAAGTATGAGTAATAAAACACATCTCTAAGTTTTTCCAAGCATACTGTGGTCAGTTGTGGTTAGTCAGTTCTTTAAGAAGACCAAAGGCCTTGTTACACTTCAGCGAACAATATGATGAAACTGCAGAGAAAAACAACTGGAGGCTTCTGGCAGCTGGGCGAACTCCAAGGACTAATTCAGCCTTTAAGTCCTCCTATGAAGTTCACATGTATGAATTCGGAGGTCTTAAGTATGACCTGATGTGCGTTCTAGTGGTGTTGACCTTGGAAAAAAAAAAAAAGATGAAAGAACTGTGAATAATCCTTTTTTGTTTTCCTTTTGTTATATCGTTTAAGTTGCAGCACTACAACAAAAAGAACAGTTGAGTTACTCCAACAAAAAGCTGTCCAAAAAAATTAATATGAATAAATTCACATAATGTAAAGGGAAGCTGCTGTGCTCTAATGAAAACAAATAATAAAAAATGCAGATTCATGTTTTACCGCAACTATATGCTCTTATCGGTTTTATCGCATGTGGGCGAGAGAAAGACAAAATTTTCATGTACGGCTGCTAAATACTCAGTTTACAATACAATTATCATTGGCTACCACTGCTTTTTTATTGAACTGCCCCAACTCGGAAACTGAGTTTATCACTGGTAATTATGGTGCAGTGGCATTCATGTGTGCTCATCTCATACATACAATATTTCTGAAATGACTTGAAGGAAGCAAAACACATTATGCCAGTGTTTCTCAACCCTGGTCCTAGAGGCCCACTGCCCTGCACATTTTAGTGCTTTTCCTGCCACTGTAATGGGCTGTTAACGAGCTGATTCGTCGGATCACATGTTTTGGGAGCAGAGAGAACACTAAACAACATAGCCTGTGATTGGTCAGTGCAAAAATGGCTAATTTGCGACAGCCAAAGCAAAACAGCAGAGAGTATGCGAGTTTAAAAGCTTGCTAAGGCAAACTTTGGGAGCTTCATTTCTCTGCAAGTGCACCAAGGCCTTGATACACTGATACACTTCACTAAACCGAAACTTAGACAGGGCAAACAAATAAGTCAGCTGTATAATGGCACACTGGACACACCATACAGCGTCACATTTAGAGGTAGTATAAAGCACAGCTACACCACATGCAAAGCGCTGCAGTGAGAGCGCCAACAAACATTAAACTCAAGTTCATTTTACACTGATACAGATTTAGTAGAATAAAACGTTCATCACCAGTCAGTAAACTTCTCACATGCAAGATAAAAAAACAATAAGCCACCAACATTGGTTGAGGTAAGAGACTATTAGCATTTGTCTGTTTACTTAATGACTTTAGACTGACTGCTTTTCTCTGTGTAAATTTCAATCCACATAAACACCTAAAATTTCTGTTGTCTCGTTGTGGCTTTAATTTAATGCCATTACAGCAAAATGTTGAGTGGTGCACTGTGGCAAACAGAGAAACTGAGCCGTGTTGGGAGTTACACAGCGGCAGCAGTGTGTGCACCTCCATTAAAAATTATTTGTGGACACTGCGTGACTTGGCACACCTGGTGGCCTTAAGGCTTTGACAATCAGAAGACTGTGAGTCTGAATCCAAAATTATGTAAAACAGCAAATAAAAGTAATAAAAATAGCTTTCATAGCATTTTTAAAATGCAGCACTGTTGTTTTGCTGGCATAATACATCAAACCTCAGAAACACTAAATATTTTGCTGTGTACAGTCAAACAAATTCAAGTACAGTAATATTATATTTTTGCCACACTTACTCCCCATCCTAAAAGCTGCTGATGCAATGACAGAAGGAGGAACCCTCCAGCCTACCTTTGTGGTCCACTGCCGAATATGAAAGCTGGAAGCCCTGGCCTGAGGTATGGACGCTGGAGCGGAAGCTCACCGTGAGCTCACTGGAGTCCGTGTACAGAGAGTGGTTGCTCGGAGAGTACAGCCTGGGGTGGGCTTTGAGGCCCCCACAATACTGCCAGTACACTAACACAAAACAGACACAGGACACAACAAAGATTACAATAATAAACACAGACAGTCCAAAACGACACGACAAATAAAACTACAAAAAGACTGCCTGTTACATACTCCTTCCTTGCGCCTTCATTCACTGGTCGTTTTATCGGAAACACCTACCATATAGGGGGACTTTGTAGGTGGACAGTTACTGACTGTAGCCCATCTGTTGATGCACAATTTATCAGACCCCTCTACCTTATCCATCATTGTAAAGAGATCACAGCAGGACCGCCGTTGAGCAGATATTACTTGAGGAGAGGATGGTTCTCAGCATAGCAGTGATACTGGCCTGATACAAGTGTATCAGACACGGTGGTGTTACTGGGATTTTTACATACGTCAGGGTCACTGTTTGGTTGAGATGGGTCCAACCAAAAATTTCCAGCTAAGAGCGGCTGTGATCAGAAACTGACAAGTGATAAAGGACTAGAAGGCGGCGAACACAAATAGAACAGAAAAAGAGAAACTATAGTATCCTGAAACATGGACCAACAAGGTAGGATTGCCTAATAAAACGTCCAGCAAGAATAAATGTGGTTTAATGGTTGTCTGATGAAATGTGATAGAAGCTTGTGGTTGTATTGGTATAAGCTACTTGATGAATAAGTAAAGGCTGATACCAAATGCGATGTGAATCAGTGACACAAAAAACTGACATTCGGAAAACTATGCTTCAAAACTACACACGACACAAACGCACAAAAATGTTTTCAAAATGTGACAAAGACATCTTTTACTCCCCACAATAACGTGCAAACTCTCTCTACTTTCCATTTTAGAAAACCGTAAGGAGCACAGTTTCACCCACTCATTCAGAGATTAAAAACACTTAAGGGTTTTTCTGGAAATGTGAACCCCATACCTGATGAAGCAGAGAGCAAACTTTTTTATGCCAATTTGTTACCTTGAGTGTTGCTATGCCAAAACCACTTGTCACGTGAGCTCATGTTGCTCGCACCATGTTAGTAGAAGTCAAAGTGGGTGAATCAATTAATGGCACATTTGTGACCTGAAAAAAGACGTTTTGCAAGATGCCCTCCTTTCTACATTTGAATTAATTTATTGATATCTGAAAAAATGCAGCTTGTTAAATCCAACAACCCCCTAAAAACCGGTTGGCTACATGTCAGTGAGGTAGCAGTCACTTGTAATGACAGCCTCCCCATGTGACCATACAGTTCTTCATGGTTTTCAACCACTGTGCCGCTTTCAGCCTTGACAAAGCCTCGGCACACTGCACACTGACATCTGAACTGTCTTTTCCTCTCAGCCTTTCAGACAGGCCAGGAAAAAATGGGTCTTCCTTTGTCACAAACAGGAGCCCAATTGGAAACAATTGGCAGAGTGAGACAATAGGCAGTATGTGGTGAGCGAGAGCTGTCCATCTGAGTGCCAGTGATGGGCCACGGTGAATGGTGTGGAGCAGCAGCTCTACCTGACATGAGGGTAAGGTGATATTTTCCTAGTCATTGCTGTGACAGGCTGTAGCCTCCAGCTGGAGACTCTTCAATTTCTATTCAACAAACCTCTCTTCCCCACCCTCTCTCAGTGAACTTCCTAGCTTTACACTATGCTTTCTAAAAGGGCCATATCCTACATTTTTCTTGTATTGTTTTTTTCCTCTTGTGGTTTATGCATGATTGGTGTTAATTTTCAACCACCTTTTATCCCTTAGAATCGAACAGGTTTTTGTTTTTACTGTCTCTCATTCAAAAAAAGCAGTGCAGGCTGAAAAACTCCTCATTAATTTAGCACGACGAGACAGTGCTAAACTGCTGTAGGCCAAACGGGCTATGTATGTTAACTGGTACATCACTCACTACTACCTCACAGCTACTTCCATACACCACATGTCAATTATGTTTAAACCATAAAAGTGTGAAGATATACTGGCAAAGCAATTTACCAAGTCAATTCCTACTGGAGCCGTCAATGCACTCTAATTGTTAGACTAACACAATATCCTTTAGGAAACAACACACACATGCTCCTGGAATGACCATGTGTAGTTTTTCACCATGAGTTTTCCAATATCCGCTGACACTTGGCTTCTGTGGTACACCATTCACGCAAGTGTTTTCTGCACTCTTATCAGTGTGTTGCTCTGATTAAGAGGAACTCATACAGAGAAGGAGGACGAGGGGAACAGGGAGACAGATATTTTGCTACTATGAAACACAAGCGCCTTAACATGAGTGTGTTGACAACGGGTTAAGCCTTATGCAACACAAAAACCTAAAAAAAAAAAAAAAATTCCTGTATGTGTGTTATGAGTAAGAACTACAATGTGTTAATCAGCCAAAGCACCCCTAGTCCAACCCACGGATAACTGAATATCTGTCCTTTTTTTTTAGGGATACTCATATAATACTCATCTAACCTCTAATAACAGCCCATTAAAAGGTGCCATAGAATGCATTTATTCAATATTTTAAAGTTTAAAAACATACTATTCACTCCCCAGTGCATACATGTGCTGCAAAATGTCATTGTAATAAAACAGCCTGTTTAATTCTAAGACAAAGATGTTGGAAAAAGTTCATGTAAAAATGAATCATGTAAAAAATAAAGAATAAAATGCACAACTGTTTTGCTGGTGCATTTTGTCTGTTCCAATTTGCTCGCAAAAACCTTAAAGTAGTGTGACAGTCTAGCATGTGAGGAAAAAGCCCACCTTTACGTGTGACCAATGATTTCTGAAGGCCATTAAAACTCGTTGCTCATACAAAGCAGTATGTGAGAACAGGACTGTGAGAACAAGATTTCACAACAGAAGAGCACAACCTATACACCACTGCCAAATTAACTTTTCTTTTTTTCTGATTATACAAAGTCACTTCCACCACACCTGGTGAAATCCTCATTCTATACTTAAAATAGAAGCACAATGTCTTAACATGTGCTAATCCCATCCACACAGAATCATCTGGGGCACCAACAATGCAACAGTTCACCTCTCAGAGAAAGGCATCGAAAGCAGCATGTCATGACAAACAGGCTAAAAGAAAGGATAAAAAAAAAGCAGAAATTCAGAAAAGAAGGAACTAATGTCTTCCTAATGTGGCTGTCTTTCTAAAAGACAATAGATGCTTACAGCTGTTTCTAATACTTGAGGAAGTACTAGTCTGTATTGTGGAAATATATAGAGCTCAAATAGCAGATGAGCCAAAATACCAACAGCAGACTTGCCTATGAGAACAGCCATGTTTAAAGAGGTGTAAAATGGGCATAGAAAGTTCTGTTTGTGGTTCAAAGTAGTGTTGTGGCCAAGACCATTAGAACAGAGCCTGAGGCACTTTGTAGTAGCCATGAAAAAATTAAATTCATTTGTAGATAGCTGTACATTCATTATCATTAATAAATAATATCATTTACTTTTAAATTTAACATTATACAATATATAGCCTATCATTTTATCATTTATTACTATAACATTAACTAAATTTGTACTGTAACTTTTGGAAAAAAAAGTGAGGTTCATTTCCAAAACTACAAATATAAATCAAGTAACATTTAACCAATTTTATTATTAAATGAAAACACAGTAACAACCTTCTGATTTGCCCTCAGGGGATGTTTAAATTGTGGAATCAATGAACATCAATAAACAAATAATACCCAGTTATGCCAACATGGAAAGAGCAATTAGATCTTCAACAGATTTTATTTAAACATGTAGACAAATTTTATTCTGTTTGAAGGTTTTGTGGACATTCAATAATGATAGAAAAAAATGACAGAATTACCTCAGACAGGGGCATTGCACTTGGTAAGCCCACCTTACCCTGAGACTGAGATAAGTCCGAGAGAAACACTGCTCTAGAGAACTACAACACTAGTGCTCAAGTATTTTTTAATTTTCTGAAATATCCTGATCCATAAGAGCTGACACTATAAGGTATCAGCACAGTCGAAAGTAACCCTTTCCCCATTTCTTATTTCTTCACCTTTTCCCATCTGCTCAATAAACTGCTTCTGAGGCACTAAATTTTCTTACAACAGAGGCAACATATATTAAATGCAGGTTAGTATCATCAAATAAACAATACTGATGCTCACCAGATTTGGTCCCATGGATCTCTTTGATAACCTTCAAATAGTCCGTCTCACAGTCCTCTCTTTCAATGGAAAGATCTTCAAACTTGAGGACGATCCTGAGGCCGCTGGAGACGCTTATCTTCTTCTCACACCACGAGTTGTTGGGGTACACGCCTGGATAGTTCTTAGTGGAGAGGAGACCACTGTCTGGGCTCAAAACATAATGGAGGCAATCATCATCTGTGAAGAACAAAGACAAAGAAAGGGCTTCTTACATGGATGCCAGCTATGGGTGCAATATCAAAAATGGGCAATTTATTTTTATTTTGGCTCATCAGTGTTGCAATTTGCATTTGCATCTTATTACTACAAACAGCTAAGTATGTCAACTGTTTAGAAATATGGAAAAATACGGAAAAGATTCTGATAAAGAGCAGATATACAATGCTATTGTCTTTACTGCTTAAAAAAATGCCTAATTTGGCAGTCACGAAGTCAAGAAGCTGGTCTATGTTTCGTGGTACATTTTAAGTTATGTACAAATCCTTTCTATTATGTGACATTTGTCCAACATGGTAAATCTATACACTCTCAGAAAAAAAGGTACAAAACTGTCACTGTTGCAGAAGCCCTCTTGTCAGAGGGGTGGTACCATTAAGGGTATATTTCAGTACCTTTAGTCAGGGAACGTAATTGTATTGAAATCCATTGAAATTATGATTTCTGAGTTGTGTTGACTCCACACACCCCGTCTCGTCTCCAGGCTTTTTATTTCATTGTCCTGTTTTAAACCATTAGATTTTGAAAAGATACAAATACATACTTTCTAAAAAGCTTATTTAAGGTACACAAATGGACCTTAACACCACTGTTGTACCTTTGAGGGTACACTTACATTGTTTGTACCTTGATGAACAAAAATTGTACCTGCACAGAACCTTTATTTCTAACAGTGTATGCTAAGTATCAACCTATAGGAACTTTCCAGAAATAAAGCTATAGAATCAAAACCATAAGAATCACAAGTGAACAGAAGACTTACAAATGCAGAGGAAGTCAACAAGGCACATGCCAAAATAGCATAAACCAAACATAAATTTGGACAACTGCCAAGAGGAATCTTAATTCTATAGAAGCATTTCAACATGAGTGTGTCCCGTCCAAACAAAGACAAGTTATAACACAATGCAGATGGTCCTGATGTATACTGAGGTATGTCACGGTGGGCATTACCATTCTTTTCAAAGAATTGTTCATGAACTAATCATTCACTGAGTCATTCACTGATTCATTCAGTGATTCAGGTGGACGAAAGCAACCTAGATTTGCACTGTATTAACGTACTAAAGTGTAGACATGCATGAATAGTACTTTTTCCTCTCTCAAATTTCGATATCAGATATAGATATAGACATTTAATTTCAGTGACATTTTAAAATGATCATTAGGTTATTGAAGTATGTCAAAACAAAACTTTAATGATATTTGTCTGATGTCTTTTATTTCATTAGCTGCATATACTAATCATTAATGGTAATGCATTTAAAGGTAACTGTTGTCATCAATCACTTACGTAGGCTTGTTTATTCGAACTTTTATAAGCAAGAAATTTGATGTAAGTGGACTTCCCTGTTCTAGACAAAGACATATCACTGGAAGCGTGGGCTTAGCTACAAGGAGCACAGGACATGGGCAACAATGGAGCAGAGAGGAATGCGATTACTCCTGAGTATTTGTCCAGGACGGCAGAGGAGGCACAGTGTTTGGACGGTCAGCTGCTGTTGGGGGCAGTAGGCCATCAGGACAAGCAGAGGATGTGGGACAGGCTCTCGTGGGGAGGGGGTAATACAGTGCGTCTGTCCTTGTGTACATGGAGTGTGACATTTTACTCCTCACTTTTTCATCAATCAATGCCTTCAAACAACATCCCAAAAGTTTTTGGTCTGGATAAACATTACATAATGTGTTTTATGATGACTTTGTGAATCTCAGCAGAGCTCACAGCAAACAACATGAGTGACTCTACTGTGCTTCATTTAAATTGTTTAAGTCAAGCTAATAAAAAGTAGGGAAGAAGAACATAGTAGTAAAACAAAGTTGGGACAGATGCAGGCCAAAAGATGAGACAAACTATGAGAAACCCAATATAAATTCTGAACTTAACCCACATCTGACAAATATTAGATAAATGATGTCAGAACCCAACCAAATGCTCAGTCAAATGTTTCAAGCTTTAAATCCTACTCCCCTCAAAGAGCCAGACAGACAATAAGTTAACTGTTCTCTTTGAGACACTGGAAATGGAGCTCAACTGATTCGTACTCAACATCAGAACTAGTGCTGAGTATCAAAATTCATTAATTTTATAGTAATGACAATTACTTACAATATTACAGAGTACTGAAAAAAACATTCAATACCAAATTTCAGTACCTAAGCAGTCAGTCTTAGCATCTGTGAGCCAATGAGAACATTCGTTCCAACCTCTAGACTGCTAATTGGCTGTCTAAATGGCATATCATAATACAAGATTTACAATATACTAATTTTATCAATATTTTTTTACCCAGCCCTCAGCCTTTGGGGGTATAAATCTCAATGCAATTGATATTAATACATTGAAAACAATCAGATCTGGATTCTTTAGGTAACAACTGAACGCATCATGAAATCTCTACTTTGCCATGGTCTAATTATTTCAGAACAGTTCAGAAGTATTTTTAAAAATACACTAAACATGAGCGTGACTAGATGAACACTAAACAGCCGAAAAACAGAAGTGTGCACTGAATATTATTAGAATTGACTTGAGTGTAATGTTAGAAAATCAGTACCATTGTAACCACCTTCAGGCTGATGCCTCATGAGGCAAAGAAGAATTTTAACACCCTTTCTCAACACAGAAAACTCCAGAACACACTGAAGGTGGGAGAGGACTTTACGCTGGCTGTGTGCTAATGAGGTAGTAAAAATAAGACTGGCTCTCACTCACATTAGCCAGCATTACCTCAGAGCTAAAGTGCCACTGGACACACAGTGGCCTTTGTGGTCTTTGACTGAACTGAGCCCAGATGTGCTGGTGGGCTTGTGACAGAGGTCCCAGTGGTAAAGCGCAAACAGGAAAGACACACCTGTCGGCAGGTGGGCAAGCACTCACGTCATGCCTGAATCACAAACATACACACCCCCCACCCAAAGACCACTGAAAACGCCCCATAGCCCAGAGACTGCACTACACAGAAGAAAATCTGTTACATCAGACTGACCTGAATATTGTGAACTAAAGATGAATTTTAAAAATAATAAATCTTTGGGATCAGTCCTTTTTTAAGACCAATTCAGATTTGATTACAGCCAAATCTCTTAATGACCAATTCTTATCAGTCAAGGTTTTCTTGGCAACAAAGACAATAACATGGTCACTAAAAATGCAGAGCCTGGGTTTACTTGCCTTGGAAATTTTCTTTAAATTCTTTTTCCCTTTTAAACAAACTTACCTGGTCAAATCAGCTAATCAAACAAATAAGATTTCACTGTTATTGTTTAACTGTAACTACCACAATAGCTAATGTGATGGTGTGGTGATTGTGGTTTTCCACCCGCTGCGCTGGTCCACTTGGCATCAAAGACACTTGTTTCTTTGGCTTATGTTTGCTAAATAATTTAATTTTAAAATATATACCAAATATTGGTAGACCTAACTATAAAGAATGAGCCATTATGCCAGTTTGGCCTCATTATGGCTCAGAAAGCATTTATTCAACCCACAAAGTGACCAACAGAGACACTACTAAAAATATTCTCCCTAGATTGTGATTCTTTGCTAACTTAAAACAAAGGCATGGTGCTGCAACATGCAGTTTGGTATCATGAAAGGTCAGCTGTCTCCCCTCAATGCCAAAAGACAATACAGCCAAACAGTGATGGCTGACTGGACACCTCAAGGTCCACTATGCAAAACACCTACAATGGATCACTGGATGAATGATAGTCTAGTGTTTATTGTGGCAGCAATGCAAAGTCATTCTAGAAAAACAGTTACTCTGGCCTAAAACTAGCATGTAAAAGTTACTTGCTATGTTGTGCAGCATCCCAGAGGTCAGCACTGAGCCCCTCGGCCTCACCAGTTTGACAGAATTCATGATACTGTATCTTTTTCATGTTCTCACTCGTCACGGTTCTTTCAATACAATACCTAGAATGCATTACATACATACATGACACAATCATTGGGAATCCCTTCAGCAGTCAACAAATCCTGACTGCCAGCCACTGATCTAGAGGCTAATAAATACACCTGTGGCGCAAGCTTTCATTAGTGACATACCACTAACCTCAACTGGTCGTCAAACTATTTTCTTAAGGGATTAATTCAGTCAGTAAGCAAAAAACAAACAAACAAACAAACAAACAAACAAACAAACAAACAACTTGCCCAAAGCACACTTCCACAATTTACTTTCACCTTCAAGACACAGAAGGGTTTTTTCCTAGCTTTTAAACCAATAAATGTCACTGCTAAAAGTGGCGAGTTGGCATGTTTACAACAGATGCTTCTTAGTTACATTTTTCTTTTAGGCCACAATGTCCCTTTAACAGAGGCCGAGTGCATGTTTTTCAACCCTTTTATGTCTCGCAGAGAACAGATTTCACTTGTCAGTCAATTATTTTACAAGTAAAATAAACTAGCCAACTATATGACTAAGAAACTGGTCAAGACAAGACCTGAAAAGGACCCTGAGGATGTAAAAAACCCAGACTTAACCATACACTCTTAAAAAAATGGTTCTTCAAGGGTTTTTTAGTAAAGACAATGGGTCTATTTAGAACCATGAGTTCTAAATAGGGCTCCTCTACTGTTACAAGCCCAAGATTGTAACAATAGAAGAACGCTTTTTGGTGCTACAATGGTTTGGTGAACCATTTTCAAAAAGATTCTGTATAGAACCATATACAACACATTCTCCAATCTAAAGAACCATTTCACCAAGCAAAGAACCATTTAAGCATGAAATGGTTCTATATATAACTCATGGTTCTAAATAGCATACCCTTTACTAAAGAACCCTTGAAGAACCATCTTTTTTAAGAGTGTAAGCCTCCTAGTTTTGCTCAGGCAGTCAGGCAGGATGTTCTTGTCCTACAGCCCAGGTGTGCCAATAACATGGGCTGCTAAAAGCAACTTTCCAACTCCATTACTCATTTAACTAAACTTTTTTTAACTCAAACGTTGAACTCCTAAGTGTAGCTTTCATTACTACTCCCAAATGTGGCCACAGCTCCTCAGACAATAATAACAGGGCTTGTACTTTTACACATACAGACAGCCATTCCTACTTTAACACCTTACCTAAACACATTTTAAGGGAGACATAATCAGTAAAAGCTGATAAGTGAGCTACTTATGTTAAACTCTAAAACCAGTGCAGATAAGAAGATGCAGTTTAAGTGTGCACAAGGTAACTTAAAGGAGAACTCCACTGATTTTTTTTTCAAAACATATGCAAAATTCAATCACTGAGATGTAAACAAATTCAACCGGAGTTGAATGAAACGATTCATTATACAGAAACTTGCAGACTGTTTTCTTCACAGTGGTGGTGACAGGAACCAAGGTTCACAATGTCTACAACACATACACAGCCATTCTATTTATTATCTAAAACCACTAGTGAACCCTTACGTGTCTCCTGAGGGTTTATATGGAAGGTTAACAATGATAAAATAGTGGTAAACGTAGAAACAAAGTTTTACCGGGGACTACTTTACCTTCTTACACGCTACCCGCACCTCTCCACCCTAAAATGATCTTGAAAAGTACATTGCAGCCCAAAAGTTTATCTTTAAACTATAACAGAACAAATGTCTCAGGCATCAGGCAACGCATTCAAAATCATTCCGTGTAAACTTTTTGTGGCGGAGCTTTTAGAGGCATTAAACTCTTCAAACGTCTGGTTCCCATCACCACCACTGTGAACAATTCTGACTCGGTAGGTCTCTCTAGAACACAGCATTTCATACCAAACCACTCTGAGTCACTTTGTTTACAGGTTAGCAATTGATTCATAGAGATTTTTTGAAATGCCGGTGGAATTCCCCTTTAACTTTACTGAATGACTTTCCCACACATTTCCAAACAAGCGCTGTGGAATCACATGTAAGGAGGGCTTTCTTCAAATTTAACACATTGGTCATGCTTTTAAAAGACACCGTTTTCAAGTTTTTATACAGAACATGACACAAACAGGGATAGCGTTATATTTCGCATTTAGCACATCTCTCTCTCGACAAAAGCAGAAAAACACAACTTTACTCGTCGCTAGCTCGTCATGCTAGCTTCGCTTACTTACCCGGTTTCTCAGTCAACACGAGCTGGTAAAAAACTGTTGAACACACGAAAAACAGCCCATAAAACACGCTGTTTGCGGACATCTCAACCTGAAGCCACCGTACACCGTAAATAAACTGTAAAAACGCATCGGATACGTTTCAGGGAACCATATTCCTTTGATTTGCAGAGGCGCTAACTAACGTTAAACTGGCCGCCGTTCCGTTCTGGCGTTCAGGCGCATTCACACAGTGCTGTTGTGATTTTTTCCACCCGTATTCTGACAAGCCCCGCCTTCCAGCGCTGCAATCGGCTTGCATTCTCCCGCCTGCTGCGCGGTGATTGGTTAGTGACCAGCCTACTGCGCTATGATTGGTTAGTAGTTCGTATTCCTTAGCGACCGAAAAACTCTGTAGTTGTTGTTTTTGCGTTTGTAGAATCAAATATGAAATACACGCTAAATATCGACTTTTTTTTTGCAAAACATCAGGTCCATAATCAGTTGAATGAGTGTCAGTAAGGTTAGTTTTGACTGCACTTGAACTACAGCTACCCACAGTAATCACGCGTAGCTCCTTTTTAAGCGCCAGTTTATCGTATTAAGTGCAACATTTTTACATAGAAGTGTAGAAATAATGTCTGGATATGCAGGTGGAAAGTTGCTGGTAGTGGTATAGGTTACCATTAATAAGGAGACGAAAGCCTGTAACGTTAATACTTTACAGTGAAACTGTAAAAGGCGAACTTGCCAGATGAGGCGGAGTTTGTCGGAATACAGGTGGGAAATGAACTCCTACCACCACATGGATTGCTTGAATGAACTCTTTAGCGTTTTATCGCCCACATGCGCCACCCAGCGGTCACTCTACTGCTCTGCTGTATCTGAATTGTGGACCAACCTCTAAGGCCTTTGAATGACACATCTTCATACTCATTATGAGAGCCATGAAAGTTTATGTTGCAAGCCATCAATGAGAGCTATGAGAACCACAAACATTGCATTACATTTCCAGGTAACCAAGGGTTGCTCTGGCACCTTTGATTTATGCATTAAGCAGAGCTGAGCCCCAGGACTATACAGTGATATTTTTAGGCCTCATGCTTTTAAGACGAAGTTCCAAAGATTTTCATTACATACTCCATATTACCAAAAGCATGTGAACACCCAAACACTACATCCATGCTTGCTGAACATCCTATTCCATTCCATGGGCATTAATACAGAGTTTTCCCCCTTTGCTGCAGCAACACATTCCACTCTTCTGGGAAAGCCTTCCACTAGATTCTGGAACATGGAGATCTGCTTCCATTCAGCCACAAGATGACCGTTAATGAGGTCAGATAATGCTGTTCTGCGATAAGGCCTGGCTTATAGTTAGTGTTCCAGTTCATCCCAAAGAATAGGGCTCTACCGGGACAGTCGTGTTCTTCTACACCAAACTCAGCACGTGGGCACTCTCATGCTGAAAGCTGGAAAACACATAATTCTTTAAAACATCCTCATGGTGTAGCATTAAGATTTTCCTTTACTATAACTAAGGGGCCCAAACCATGCAAAACATGCGCAGATCACTATGCCTACTCCACCTAACTTCATAGTTGATACTGCATTCGGGCAGGTAGTGTTCTCTTGAATCTGCCAAACCCGGATTCGTCCATCAAACTGCCAGAGGGTGAAAACCAATCGATGATACTCCTGTTGACAGCTGACTGGCAGGGCAGAAATTTGGCTAACTAACATGTTGGAAAGATGGCTTCCCCTGATGGTGCCATGCTGAAACTCACTAAGCTCTTCAGTATTACCCATTGTACTACTAGTATTTGTCCATGGAGATTGCATGTTGTTAGTAATGGATGAGGCTGAAATAGCCAGACCCACTAATTAGCAGCGGTGTCAACACACTTTTGGCCATGCAGCATAATTAAGCAAACCTGTGTCCAAAACCACATACTACTATACTACGGATATTGCACTGAGGCATGCATTTTGACTGGCAGTGCACTATTTTGGCATACTATTCAGTACCGTAGTACACGGTTTTGGATGCAAATCTAGTTTACATAGCTATGCCTGAGGGACCTAAATTAGAATTAGCAGAACCACTTAGAATTAGCCACTGGTCACCTGTTAAAACATAAGGATCTTTTACACTGTGATATTAACCCATTAAAAAAGCCAAGACGCATCACAAAACCATTAGGAACCAACAGAAACACTTAATGGTGTCTGCGGGAGTTTTCAGCAGGGATCACTTTGTAAAAAGTTCTTACACTAATGTTATTAGCATGTATTCTAGCAAAAAAAAGCAGGTGAATACGAAGTTAATTCAAGCAGCCACATTAACAACCAGACAACTTTAATTCAAAGTTGTTAGTTTGCTCTGCACATTTCACTCTGGACATTTTCTCAAACCTTGGACAATATCGAGCAGCTTTGCTCAGCGTTTGACACTGAGGAGAGTGCAGTGAGGGCCAGCTCCAACTTCATTAGCATCACAACCCCAACTGCAACCTGTAAGTAGTAGCCATACTGTGTGGTTTTTATCCATTTTTTGAGGTTGAAGCCAACTCATCTTAAACTGACAGTTTCATAGTGAACTAATAACTTTAACTTTGTGTTGCTGTCGAGATTGAAGGCAAGTAGCTAGCTAGCTAGGATAAGTAACGTTAGCTACTAGCAAGCTCCAAGTAACTAGCATAGCTAAGTAAATAGTATGGCGTACTAGCTTATTTACACAAAGGTTCATTTTATTTTCCTATCTGTGTCTATTTCGACATGTTGCTTCTGTGAGAGCCACCCCGGTGCCTCACTGTAAACCAGCAAATTAGAGCAGAACTCATCAAATTATTCATGAGCCCCCCAAAAAAGGGAAAACAGCTTGTTTCATTCTAGGGCCAAATAACAAAGTTGTAAATGGGCGTGTAAAACCATTCATCCTGATTAAAGTCACATACCTTCTATGTAGACAGCAGAGAACAATGTAAAATACTAAAATAAATGTATTTTATGGTCTCTATGTCAAAATTGCATCTCCAATTTTAACCCCATTATTTAACTATAGTTTAACTATTACATTTGGTCTGAACTCTCTCTTGATAATGAACTTTGTCCCTGTTATGATCCAACACCTTTCAACTCACCCGAAGAACTTTCTGGATTACAGATCAACAGATTTACTGTATTTATAATAAACCTAAGCCTATACTATGTTTCATTTGTACTAAACATACATAGCCTGCCATGCACAGATCAAACCCAACACTGATATGAAAGTAGACTCATAAACGACAGGTTACAGACTCATAAAATGATGAAGCAACATAAGGCTTAATATGAGATAGTAAGAAGGACTTTGTCCACCACACTAAACAAATAATAGCATACTATTCTTTCTTACTTTCTGTGGTGCTGTTATTAAAACACAAAGTAATTATTTGAAATCACAAATTACATAAATCATACGTCACTTAGGAAATCCATGCAAGTTTATGAGCACCACACCAGTCAGAGCAGTTGAAGGTGTCAGAGGATTATTTTCAGTTCTATCCCTAACTGAATACATTCAGATAATCAGTCCAGTTAGATGAAGTTGTGTTGAAATCTGTAGGCTGATCTCCTGAAGTGGGAAATTACAGCTGTTGTAACACTGGTTTAGGGATTTTTTTCTTAAACCACGGCTCCCTCTAGAGGGTCAAAATCAAATGTACACCTCCAGGCCAAAAAAGAGTGGTTCTCAATCCCAGGCCAGAGAACCCAATGAAGCACACATTTTAATATTTTTCATGCTCTAACAAATCAGACGTAGCTCTTGAAGGGTTTAATAATTACCTGAACAGTTGGGCCAGGTGAGGTTTGAGCAGGGGAAGAGCACTGTGATTAACAATGACAGGCATAAAAACCAAAAATCTCCTAAAGGTTCATTTTCTTGAATCAACTTTGTGATAGTTACACACTGATGACAGTGATAAATAAAAATCAGAATCATGGCATGTCTGTGCTAATACAAATCACAGTGAACTCCAGTGCTTTCGCCTGTCCAGTGCTGACAGGAAGATAGATAGGTAGATAGATTGAGTGCCTTGCAAAAATATTCAGCCCTATTAAAAGGAATCAGATTCATCTGGATCAGGCTGCAAATGCCACATGCAGCATTTTGAATTTTGGTCAAAAAGCTCAATTTTTGTCTTACCTGACCACAAAACCTTATCCTACATTTTAGCTGGATCACTCTGATGCTTTCTCACAAACTCCAGAAGTGCTTTGATGTGTTTTTTCACCAGTAATGGCTTCTTCCCAGCCACCCTCCCATACAGACCAGTTGTCTGCAGAGCTCTTGATATCATTGACTCTTAAGGGGGTTGAATACTTTTGCAAGGTACAACGATAGATAGATAGATAGATAGATGGATGGATGGATAGATAGATTACACAGATTTGTGTTAGCCATCCTCTAGCCCCTCCTCAATGGTCAGTTTCTGACCATAGAGCTGCTCTTGAAGTGGTGGACCACTTCCCAAAAACACAACAATGATACCAGTCAGTGTTGCTGCTGAAAATCTTTTACCACCCAACTAAAATAAACAGACCAGTGATGAATTGAGTAGGGGAGGGTGACAAATTGACAACATACAGGTTTCACTCTTGCCCGTATATAGCTGTGTCAAATGAAGTGACCAGTGAGTAGAAGTTCAAGGTTGGTATTTCTAATAAAATGGCCAGTGAGTGGAAGTACAAGAAGGTGTTTCTGATAAAGTGGTCCATGAGTGGAAGTACAAGGTAGGAGTTTCTAATAAAGTGTCCAGTGAGTGGAACTACAAGGTAGTATTTCCAATAAAATGGCCAGTGTGTAGAAGTACAAGGTATGTGTTTCTAATGAAGTGGTCAGTGAGTGGAAGTATAAGGTAGTGTTTCTAATAAAATGTCCAGTGAGTGGATGTAAAAGGTGGGTGTTTCTAATGAAGTGGACATTAAGTAGAAGTACAAGGTAGGTGTTTGTAATAAAGTGGCCAATGCATGGAAGTACAGGGTAGTTTCGTGGCGAGTGTATATTTTAATGTGATGGTTGGATCATTTATACAGTTTTTTTTTTTCGTACTTCTTGATCAAAAGCGATTGATCAATGAATGTCTGATGGGTTACTTTTCTCAGAAAAACATAAAATGTCATCACATAAAATGATTTGCTATAGTCTATGTAAAAAGTACACTGAAGTTCAAGGTCGTAAATACCTG